GCAACTACATGATAGTTCACAACCACCTGTAATGGGATCCGATGCCCTCTTCTGGTGTGTCTGAAGAGAGCAATGGTGTACTCATATACATAAAATAAATAAATTTAAAAAACACAAAAAAGAGAGAAAAAAGAAAGTGAAAGGACCAATATCACCAGCTTCTTGAAGGTCAATTATGCTGTTCCACTTTCAAATCTGTAAAACGAACTTGAAGGACAAATATTATTCAATTGACTGTAAAGCATTTAGTACAAACAATGGAAAAAAAAAAAGAAAAGTTAGAATAAGAATTCCTTCTAAAAAAGGTTCAGAAAGTATTTTCCCCCACTGAGTAATTAAAGCTTCCATGTGGCTTTTGAAGGTGAATCTCTAGCCCAGTCAATTCTTATTCAACAGAAGGCAACTTTAACAATTTTATAGCAGCATGAACACTAATAAGTATTTCATGATGGCAGGGTCAAGGTCAGGCAGTTTCTACCTGCTGTTCTCCTCCTTACCCCCTTAGTCTAAGTGAGAACCTAGTTAGCTTGTTCTCAGCTTTTAGATACACAGAGGATTAGGCTCCCTCTGTTCTTGACTGGTCTGCACTAATAAAGCATGAGTGAAAGAAACACGGCCTATCTGGACTATCCACATTTCACTGTCAGCAGTGGAGTTCCCAGTCACTCCTTCCCTCACCCCATGAATGCTAAGCCTCAACTGGAAATATGGATATGATAAAACTATACTCTCTACTCAATTGCTACATTTCCATCTGTGTAACTTGGCATGTCATGACAGATATGTTCTGTAGATCAAAACAGGAACAAGAACAGCACACTTTGCAACTTTATGGGAGACCAAAACAAGAAAAATAACAGTGCAGGTTAAGGGTTCCGATTGCAGTTAAGATAGTTAAGAATAGCCGGGCGGTGGTGGCGCACGCCTTTAATCCCACCACTTCGGAGGCAGAGGCAGGCAGATTTCTGAGTTCGAGGCCAGCCTGGTCTACACAGTGAGTTCCAGGATAGCCAGTGCTACACAGAGAAACCCTGTCTCGAAAAACCAAAAAAAAAAGAAAAAAAAAGATAGTTAAGAATAAATTCTGAATGTATGCTTGCCCCTGACTAGACCTGATGGGAAATATGGTGAACTATGGGTTTGGCCTTTTTAAGCCCCTGCAAAATGTGAACTGTGGCCATTTTCTGGGAACCCAGAGATGGGCCTGGCCAGAGTATATCAGCCTGGCCAGTATTTAATTAGATCTTTTTCAAATTTGGCTTTAAATTATAGTAGTGGTCTTATTCTCAATGGGTAGATTTAACAATATAGTGCAAACAAATCATAAGTATTTGCTATTTAAGTCCGCTGTGGGGGAGGGCTACAGTGATGACTCAGCAGTTAAGAGCATACAGTATTCTTATAGAGGTCCTGAGTTCAGTTCTCAGCACACATGTTGTGTGGCTCACAACCTGTAACTCCAATTCCAGGGGATACACTTCTGACCCCAATAGCATCTGCAAACACACATGTTCATAATTAAAAAGAATAAAAATAAATATTTAAAAAGTAAACAAATCCACTGAATTTTAAGGTTTGTCTCAATGGCACACACTAATTAATCCTGGTTGGTAAAATGTAGTATCAGAAAGGTAAAGAATAATAACCCCAGAAGCAAATGACCAGCTTAAACTGATGAAAAATAAATACTTATGTATGTAATATCAAACCTTCAATTTTGAATACTAATATTTTAAAGGAAAATAAAAATAATATAGTCACACTATAAAGCATCCTTTGAAAATATGAATACATTATTCAATGACTAATTGAATACAAGTGCCTTAATTTAAAATTAAACAATTTTTAAAAATTTATATTTCATGTATATTTACCTCCAAAGTTAGAATATAGTGACAATCTGTTTCAGCCAAGTATCAATTTTTAATATGGAGCTGTTTGCACTTAGCCAAAATACATATTTGATGTCTCTCTAAAAATATTGTAAGAAATGAAAATTCTATGAATAAAAGCTCAGTTATGTGTCCGTTATTTAATACAGTTCCTTGACAGAAATCCAAAGTGTTTTGCCAATTAAGCCACAGGTTTATTTTACTGAAAAATACCTTGACCTTTTTTAATCGGGGCTTCCTTTGTTGCCATTCCGTCTCCTATCCTCCCTCTTCTGCTGCTACCAGCTGGCTTCCACTACTGCTAAATTCCAGCAACCAGCAGGATGCAATTCAGTGCTTTGTTTTGACTGCTGTGCTCCTGGTAGGAAAATCAACTCAGATGTATAACTCAATCTTTAAGCTGGAAACAGAAAATCACAATCAACTCATTTCCTTCACATTTTGGGTTATCAGATAGCCATGCAGTAGCTTGTACTTGTCTCAGTAAATGGTCCAGACAAAGCTCCAAGCTAACAAAAAAGAAGCCATTTCCATTATTAAGTTAATGGTCTCCTCCCAGGAAGGAACAAGGTTAGAAATACAGAGCCATTATATAAAGCAAACAAAGGTCAAATCAAAATATGAAATGTACCAATTTGAAATTCAGAAGTACAAATTCTAACACATTTATACAAAAGAACATTTGGAAAATAGTATGGAGATAAAATTTCAATCATGTTTAGTTTTTGAAATTTTGAGCAATAAGTATAATTTTAACTTTTCATTTTGGCCAATCCCTGTCAATTTTTGTTTTAAAGGGATTAAAAGAGTTAACTATTTAAATTTACTACTATAAATTAAAATTTAAAGGATAAAATAAAAATAAGCTTCCAAGTAGTGGTTTTTGTTACGTATCTAGCTAGCATTTACACGTCAGAAATTCTCAAAGGTTAACGCGAAGAAAATATAGAAAGCTATGAATTCACAGGGTACTTGAATGTAAACATTTGTATCTTATATTCAGCTGCATTAAAAACTTCAAGTCATTTGTAAGAACACATAAGCACATGTATACAAATAGAGGTAAAACAGAGTCAGTTCTGAAGCCAGAGAGACCTATTACCATGTAATTAAAACTTAAGGAAAACTCTGTGCCCTGAGTCTGTCACTAAACATAGGATGTGCCCTTTTTTTTTTCTAATTCCAGTGCCAACTGAACAGCTTTGACGTAGACTACAATACCACATTATGCCACAAGATCAAAGTGTTTACAGATTAGTAGTTCCATCTGAGTGAACCAAGTGAAAAGTCAGGAGATATACACACACACACACACGCACACACTCACAACCAAAAAGGAGAAATTGTTGCAGGAATATACCTAAATAAGGCCTCCAAGTTCACTTATTCTTGAGAATCAGGGATAAGCTTCACTGTAGACAACGCCTATGGCGTGTATACTAGGACACTTTTTCTAGGTTGCTTTACACAAACTTGAAGGCGACTTTAGCCAAAAACCCAAAACCACTCTTTTTCTAGAGCCTACGGATAGCTAAGAGAAGGTGAATCCTGACTTGATAGTGTACACCTGTAATTCTAGCACTCAGGAATTGGAGAAAAGAGGACCACAAATTTCCTGTGCTATGTAGGGCTTTAGTCCAGTCTGGGTTACAGACTTTGTTTTTAAAAAGAGAGAATGCAGTATGGCTAGAGGGTATAGCTCAGAGTATCAAAATCCTGGTTCCTTACCTCAGGAGATTATCTAGTTTGGTGGATCTGTACTTGGGGCTGGCTACACAGAGACATGACTGCATTTATTATAATACAGCCGTGGGTCTGTTTCACAGAGCTTCTGATTTAATTGGTCCAGGCTACACAAGCATCTGGGATTTTAAAGGCCCCTGGTGAAGCTAATGTGCAACCAAGGCTGAGAACTACACTTTAGTTCACTGGACAGATGGTCAGTGCTCCAAGTTTTTAGTTTCATCTAACTTATTTTATAGACGAGTAGATCAAAGGAAAACCTGCAAGGGTTGGTTCTCTCCTATTATGTTGTCCCCCTGGGACTGGTCTCAGGTAGTCAGGCTAGGCAGCAAGTGCCTTTACCTGCTGAGCTATTTTTCCAACTCTAGAACTCCAATATGTAACAACAGCACAAACCTCAAGTTTGTTTTTTTAAAAATATTTATTTATTTATTTATTTAACATGTATGAGTGCTCTATCTGCATGTACCCCTGCAAGATAGAAGAGGGTATCAGATCTCAGTATAGATGGTTGTGAGCCACCATGTGGTTGCTGGGAATTGAACTCAGGACCTCTGGAAGAGCAGCTAGTGCTCTTGACCGCTGAGCTATCCCTCCAGCCCCCAAACCTCAAGTTTTTGATGAAAGGTTTTTTAAAAAATTAATCAACAGCCAGGTGTTCTGACGCACGACTCCTAAGTGCAGGTGGATTTCTGAGAGTTCAAGGCCAGCCTAGTCTACATAGTGAATGCCAGGCCTGGACTGCATAGTTAGACTGTCTTAAAAAATAAAAACCAGTAATATAGACAAATTTTACAAACCAAAATGTCCCGAGAAATAATCCAGATTTAAATGGTTCTTTTTTTTTTTTTTTTTTTTTTTTAATCAGAACGGGGCAGGGGACGGAAACGCCTAGGAAGGGAAACTAGAAAGAAATTTCCGGGATAGAAATGCTACGTATTTCGATTAAGGTACAGACAGATATTTAGTTTTCAAAGCAGCGAAAGGAACAACTGAGGCCTCCATTGTGATGTTGCTATATATAAACAAGTTAGAAAGAGACGTGATTAATTTAAATGTGGGTATGTATCGGTACTTCTGATAAACCCAAACTCCTGCTATATGAAAAGCACAACAAATCGGAGTTGAAAATCAATGAGAAGGGAGAGCAGACTGCAGACAGGGTCAAGCCTAATTAATTACTAGAATGCTGCCAGACGAACGCCAGGAGCTTCTACCACTCCGGAGCCGGAGCGTCCTAGGAAAAGAAGCCCGCGCGCTTTTTCCGGCATGCACAAAACCGTCTGAGTGTCCTCACCGGAAGGGTCCGGGGGGAAACGTTGCCACCGGAGCAAAGAACCCGGTAGCAATTTGGTTCCTGCGCGGATGCTGGAGCTGTAAGGCTCCGGGCGGACGGCTGATTGTGGATCGCAGAAGGAGGACGCTGGGGCCCGCCGTCCATCCGCTGCTACTATGATTCCGGTGTCGCTGGTGGTGGTGGTGGTGGGTGGTTGGACTGCCGTCTACCTGGCCGACTTGGTGTTGAAGGTGAGGGCCTCAGGCCTAAGGCCCCAGCCGGTAGAGTCCAGGGCTGGTGCGCATGGTCCTGTGTTGCCCAAGGCCTTTTCTCTTGCCCTGCCGAGTTTCCTCGGGGGTCTGGAGCCCGCTCCGCCCGTGGTGTCTACGTGCACTCTTCCGCGTGGCGCATCCGTCCTGCGGATTAAATAAAGTAGGACAGGCTGCGGGAGGGGTGTGGCGGCCCGTGCCGCCGCTGCCGCCGCATTGCGGGCGCCGGGTCCCTGCAGCTTTTGGCTCCTTCCCGGGAGGAGTCTGGCGGGCTTGGGAGGCACGGCTCGAAGGAGGAAAGAAACTAAAACATCCGCTTAAGAAAATGCATTGTTTTCCTTCTTTGTGCTAAGGTTAGGACCCGTGAGACGCTGCTAGTATTGTGATAAATCGAAATCAAATCGTGACTTAAATCACTGGTGTCAAACTCGAAAGTACACAGGAGCATCCAGTGGTTCCAGTTTAAATTTAGATTCTGATTTCGTCAGGTCTGGGAGGAAAGCTAAGATTCTGTATTTCCAGCCAGTTCCTCTGTCCTACAGACGGTGGTTGACCCGCAGACCGTGCTTTAAAGTAGCGTGCTTAAGTAGCAAGAATTTAGATAGCCACATTTTCTATTACTCAAATTCTATTTACACCCTACACTCCCTTTTTCACAGTGACCGCACACACCCGGGCATACAGTGCGTTTTTTAGTGTTGTGGGTGCTGGGATCGTAAGAAGAAATTTCAAGAGTTGTCCAAGCACGTGCTTCAGACACCCTTAGAATGGAATGTGGGTGGGGAATACGAGCATAGAAATTCCCAAGAGTTTGAAAATCACAATCATAAATAGTAAAAACTTCATGCTTGTGTTCTTTTAAACAAAATACCTCGTGACATTTTGTCTTAGAAAACAATAAAATCAAATGGCACCTATGCTTCTTTGTCATATTTAAACTTTGGAATGCCAGACTATGAAGTGTAGTCCTTAGGAGAGCTGGGCTCTGCCACTTCCTAACCTCTGTGACCTTAGGCAGATTGCTACCTCTGCCTCCATTTCTTGTCTTTAAATAGGGATAACAACCGGAAGGATAACCTGAATCTATGGAGGGGATTATGTTATGCATCCACATAATATACTGTATCTGAGGTTCAAGGACCAACTCCTTGGATGATCTGGGCACTTCTTAGAATAGCACACTCTTAGGTCTCACCTCTGACCTGTAGACTCACAGTCTGCAGCTTAACAAGGGCCCCTGAACATTTCTGTGCACATTTGTTTGAGAATCACTAGTGCAATGGACTTGGTTTCAGTGCTTAGCAGCACAGGTCACAGTGATTTGGTGATTGGGCTCAAAAGAAAAAGCCACATGATTTCTTCATGTTTCATATGTTAAAAAACGATCCCAGATAACTAGAATTCATCAAACTCTTACAGTAAGTCTCAGGTCAAGTAAGTGAGTGATAAGGATGTAGCTTTAATTTCTGGGGCATCCTCTCTCTTCATAAAAGCACCAATTCCTGAGTAATGGCACTGATTCAGAGTATCTGTCTGGGAATGGAGAGCAACCTTGCCTAAAAAAATGTATATGGCTGTTTTAGCTGCTTCTATGTACATGTACACTACATGCATTCAGTGTCCTCAGGGGCCAGAAGAAGCCTTAGGATCCCCTGGAACTGGAGTTACAAATGATTCTTAGCTGCCATGTGAGTGCTGGGATTTGAACCTGGATCCTCTGGAAGAAAAGCCACTGTTTTTACTGGCTGAGCCCTCTCTTCAGTGCCTGAGATCTTGACTTTTTCAGAACTTTCCCCTTCTCTTGGTCTGCTGCCTTACCCTTGGTTTTTGTACCCAGTAAACCTCTGCTGCACAGGTGTGTCAGTCGCCTTTTCAAGTTCTAGAAAACAGACAGGCTTAAAATGCCATCAGAAGACAGTAGAGACAACTGCAGATACTGGCATTTAGACTGAGGCCATTTGTTTATGATGATACAAGATCTGAAGTAGCCTTCTAGGACAAATGCATTTTTCATACAGATGATCATCAGTTATGACAGTACTCCAGTGCTTTCTGTAACTCCCTTGTTATTTATAGATCTACTTTAGCCAAGGACTTCAAATTATAAGAGCCTTGTGACTGTTTATAAGCAGCTATCACTGTAACCCTTGGGGAAATTTAAAGAGCTTTTATTGAGACCTAGAAGACGTTAGGTAAATTTTCTAGCTTTGTCTGGTTTAACTTGAGGCTTGCTTAGATGAAAATAGAAAATATTGATTAAATGTAGGCTATCTCTTCTGTTGAATCCACTTGGAGTCTAAAAATTATCTCAAAAGACCTGTTTCCTGTCTGTGGCAATGAAATATGCGGTGCCATGCACTGTAGTAGCTATTGGATGTATGTGGCTATCTAGCATTTGCAAAAGCTTGTCTGAATAGAGATATGCTAGGAGTAAAATTTTGATACATTTCTAAGAGTACTAGAAATAAATGTCTCAATGCTCTTACATTGATTACACATTAAAATGATAGCTTGGATATTTACAGATTACAAATATATGAAAATGAATCTTTCCTTTTAAAAATTTGGCTACTAGACAGTTTAAAATTATATGTGGCTTGAAGTTTTGATGTACATATTTCTTATGGGCTTTATGGTTCCAAGCAGAAGTCAGGATTGGTGGTGGTGGTGGTGATGGTTTAGGTTTTTTTGAGATAGGATTTCCCTGTATAGTCCTGGCTGTCCAGGAACTCACTCTGTAGATCAGGCTAGCCTCTGCCTCTCAAAATGCTGGCTTTAAAAGTATGTGTCAGGATTTTTTAAAAAGCTGGAATAGTAAGTTTTAAAAAAATATTTATTTTTATTTTTTAATCCTTTTGTACAGTCCAGACTTCATCCCCCTCCTGGTCTGCCCCCTCCCACTCCCCATTCCATACCTCCTCCCCCAACCCCCATCTCCAAGAGGATGTCCCCACCCCACCAGGCCTCCCCACTTCCTGGGGCCTCCAGTCTCTTGAGAGTTAGGTGCATCTTCTCTGACTGAGTCCAGACCCGGCAATACTCTGCTATATATGTGTTTGGGGGGTCTCAGATCAGCTGGTGTATGCTGCCTGGTTGGTGGCTCAGTGTCTGAGAGATCTCAGGGGTCTGGATTAGTTCAGACTGCTGCTCTTCCTGTGGGGTTGCCCTCCTTCTCAGCTTCTTCTAGCCTAGCCCTAATTCAACCACAGGTGTCCCTGTCTTCTGTTCATTGGTTGGGTATAAGTATCTGCATCTGGCTCTTTCAGCTGCTTATTGGGCCTCTCAGAGGGCAGCCATGCTAGGCTCCTGTCTGCAAGCACACCATAGCATCAGTAATAGTAGCAGGACCCTGGGCCTCCCCTTGAGCTGGATCCCCATTTGGGCCTGTCACTGGACCTCCTTTCTCTCATGCTCTTCTCTATTGAATAGTAAGTATTTTAAGCTTTATGGGTCACAGGATCTTTGTCACATATTTTTGGGTTTTGTTCCTATGTGGAGAAGACAGGGTTGAGAGCATTTCTCTATGTGAGTCTGGTTGGCCTTTAACTACTGTGGCAAACATGCTGGCTGTAAACTTGCAGACTTACTCCTGCCTTTCCTTATCTATCACTATTGTGTAGTGGTGGGATTACAGGCAGACTCCACTGTGCTGGCTACTTTTGATTGTGGATTTACTGGGATTTAAAATCACCATGGAAACAATTCTCTCTGTGTGTGGCTGTAAGGGATTACCTAGTTTAGGATAATTGAGGGAAAAAACCCGCCCTAAATGTTGGAGATACTATTTTTATGGGGTGAGACCCTGAACTAGATAAAAACAGAAAGGACTTAACACAAGCTTTCATCTTCCTCTGCCTCTTGACTATGGATGTAATGCGACCAGCTGCTTCAGCCACCTACCTCCTCCACCTCCAGTGCCATATCTTCTGCTCCATGATGGGGTATACTCTCTCTGGAACTGTGAGCAAAATGAAATATTTCCCAAAGCTGCCTTTTTGTCACAGTATCTAGACAAGTAACCATCATAACCACTATACCCAGCACCCAGCAGTTGTCTTTTTTTTTAAATCATCCCTTAAAAATTTAAAAACTATTCCTAAATTAGAGGCTATTAAGCCAGATTTCATTTTTGGGTTATATGTCTCTGGAACCTAACCCGGCCCACCCAGTTAATTGGAGACCTTTAATACTTAGCAGGGGAAAAAAAGTGAGGCTTTAAGATTATATACACTTGGGTGGGACTGCGATTGTAGCCCAGTGTGTGGAGTGCTTGCCTAGCATACAGGAAGTCCTGGGATGAATCCCCAGCACTACAGAAACTGGACATGGTGTCAAATGCCTGTAATCTCAGCACTTGGGAGGTAGAATCAAGAGGATCACAAATTCAAAGTCATCCTCAGCTATGTGGGAGCTAGAGGCCAGCCTGGGTTACATGTAACTATCTCAAAAAAATATTATAAAGATTTGCACTACTAACATCTTGATTTCTTTTAGAAAGTCTTTATTTTCTTTAATTTATTTCTTTGTTTTCTTATGTTATAAGTCTGCTCTTCAAATTTGAGTGATGCTGAACTTTTCTTTCTCTTAGTCATCTGTGTATTTTAAACATTCTTATGAAGACTGGCTGGAAAACAATGGATTGAGCATCTCTCCTTTTCATATAAGATGGCAAACTTCAATTTTTAATCGTGCCTTTTACAGTTGGGGACGGCGGAAAGCAAGGATGCTTTACCAATGGTACTTTTCATCTTCAATTTTGGGCTAAATTAGTAATTAAATTATAATCACTGGAGATAGCTTATTAACAATTTCCATCATTTTTGGATCTATTGAGCATATATATGTATATATACACATAAATATATATATGTGGAATTGTATCATTGTGCTTTTTCGTACATTAAAAATCATGGCACCTGAGCATAGTGGTACAAATCTGTTATTCTAGAAGTACCAGGAGTTTTAAAGCCATTCTAAGTTAGATTTCAAGTTTGAGGCCAGTCTGAACTACATGAGAACCTTGTCTCAATCAAACAAAAACTAAAATGAGGGAGACTGGAGAGATGGTTCAGCAGTTAAGAGCATGTGCTGATCTTCTAGAGGACTCAAGTAAAGTCTAAATTGAATGAATGGATGGATGGATGGATGGATGGATGGATGGATGGAATGAGACACATGAAAATTTATGCTTTTATATTTTCCATGGTCTTTGGGACACCTAATATCCTAACAATTTCTTTTTAAAAAGATGTATTTATTTTTGTTTTGCCATTTTGTTTTGCTGAATTTGCACCACCTGCATGCAATGCTCACAGGAGCCAGGAAGGCATCAAATCCTCTGAAACTGGAGTGGTAGTTGTGAACCAACATGGGGTACTAGGAACTGAACCTGGGTCTTCTGCAAGAGCAGCCAGTGTTCTCAATCCTGTGAGCCATATCTCCAGCTCCCCATAACAGGTTCTTAGTTCAGAGAATTTGGGGCTAGTGAATAATGTACTCTAAACTACTTTTTGTTAACAACAAAGCTCCAAATAAGAACAGCAGCACTACCTATAAGAATCCCAGCACTCTGAAGTCTGAGGCAGGAGAATTGATAATTTAAGGGAAGCCTGGACAACATAGCAAGTTCTGGGTCACTCTGGGGTACATAAAGAGACTTTGTCTCAATGTATATATTATTTTAATTAAATAAAGTAAGAGAAGAAAAGAAAAAGACAAAATAGGAAAGGCACTTCAGATGCTGTGGATAGTTTCACAACTTTTCATTTTCTCTTTAGAGCTTTTCACATGAAAGTCCAAAATATTATGGAAAATGTCCATTTTCATCCATTCATTCATTGCCTTGGAAGTATGACACAGTTGATAATTTAACATCCTTTGAATTATCTTTCTGCTTTCTAAATATTTTCTAGATTTTAGGTTGAAGTTATGTTATCAATTTTAACATTATAAATGAAGACAAATTATGATTCAGAATTAAACAACATTGTAAAATTTTTTAAAGTAAATATGTGAACAATACACACACATAAATGTAAAGTAAGCTCCAAATGTATTTAAGCTAAATGTAAACAATTAAATAATCAAAAAGCCAGAAAGGATACAGTAATAAAAATAGGCAAACCTAAAGTTCAGTTATTTGAAAAAACTAATAAAATTGAATGAAAAAACCCCCAGTAATTGAAAATAAGGTATTACCTAATTCTTTGAACATTAAAACAAAAATAAGATTATGACAATTCTACAACCTAAAATTTCACAACAGGACTTTATGAAAAAAATAACAGATTAGTCCCAGCCATAAGAGTAATTTTAATTATTGAAACAACAGAATAGGGGCTGGAGAGATGGCTCAGTGATTAAGAGCACTGACTGCCCTTCCAGAGGTCCTGAGTTCAATTCCCAGCAACCACATACATGGTGGCTCACAACCATTTGTAACCATGCCCTCTTCTGGTGGGTCTGAAGACAGCTACAATATACTCATATATTAAACTAAATAAATAAATCTTAAGAAAAGAAACAACAGAATAAACAAAACTATTAAATTTGCCTCCCTTGATATTGAAACTAATTTATCACAAAGCTAAAATGAGATAAGATACAGACAGTAGAATGGAAAATAAGTAATGTGAAATAAGTGAATGCCCAATGTTAAGAGCATTTCTAACTATATTAAACACAAAACGGCATAATGAGCAAATAGAGAGTAACCCCTCCCCCCTCAGCTCTTTTTTTTTTAAATTGGCAATGATATTTAGCTTTTTTGGGTGTCAAGAGTATGTAGTTTGTTAGAATTACCTATGAGTGAATCAGTTTAGATATGGAAACCTGATTGGTCTTTTTAGCAATTGTTTAAAAACTACAGACTGTGGCCAGTTACCTTGTTAGTCCATGCACTGTGTAGAATTGTATACTTACATGTTTGTTTTTGTTCTTGTTGCCAGGTTCAATTTTGGAATGGTGTTTGGCGTGATTGCCATGTTCAGCTCTTTTTTTCTCCTTGGAAAAACACTGATGCAGACTTTGGCACAAATGATGGCTGACTCTCCCTCTTCTTATTCTTCCTCTTCTTCCTCTTCTTCCTCTTCTTCCTCTTCCTCCTCCTCCTCCTCCTCTCTTCACAATGAACAGGTGTTGCAAGTTGTGGTAAGTACACTCTTTTTTTTTTTTTTTTACCTTAAACAACTACCAAAACACAGATATTATTTTTCTGGCTAGTATAGCTAAGATACATAAAGTAGACATTAAAGTAAAATGCCTCATAAATTTTCACATTACACACTTAACCAAAAACCATTAATATAATATTAGCAGAAATCGTCACAGTATTTGATGTCAATGGTAATAACTGGAGCAGAGAATAAATGGATGACTAATAAGACAGGCAGTCATCAACGATTCCCCCCCCCTTAACTCAGGTTGTCTTGTTGAGATGTGTAATGATTATTTCAAGAAGTAAGCATGCTGACTTGAGATCTCTGTAACATGTAAGTAAAGTGCATCTTAACCCTGTGCAATACTACCCTTTCTTTTTCATGGTTTTCAGAATTTAATATTCTTTTAGTTAGAAGTATGAGGCTGGTGTTAGGAGGTAAAGGTATAAGACATTTTTGAATGATCACTGGGATTTCTTTGAAACTAAATCTCACTCTATAAGTTGGGCTAGGCTAGTATTTGGTATGTAGCCTAGGCTGTCCTCAGACTCATGGAGATTGTTCTGCCTCACCCTCATACCTGCTGAGATTTCAGATATGAGTCACGACATCCAGGTTGTGATTTCTTTTTTAAGATTTATTTTTGTGTGACTGTTTTACCTGCATATATGTGCACTATGTACATGTTTGGTATCCACAGAGGTCAAAAGGGGGCATTGAATTCCCTATAGCTGTAGTTAGACAGTTGTATGCCACCATGTGGATGCTGGAAACCAAATCTGGATCCTTTGTAAAAAGCAGTAAGTGTTCTTAACTACTGATCCACCTCTCCAGTCTCGACCTTGTGATTTAATGTAAAAAAAAAAAAAAAAAATATATATATCTATATATATATATATATATATATATATATATATATATGTATATATATATATACGCGCTAGAATTTATTCCTTTGGTTATAAGCTATTACAGTAATTCTTCCTTTAAAGCACATGGGTAGGCTTGTATCTGATCTTGTGGCAGTTCTGGAGCCGGAAAGTACAACATCATGCATGTAAGCCAAGTGGTCTACTCCTCAGCTCCAGCCCCTACATATTCAGTTTGCAAGAGTGCCCAACATTGACTCAGTTTCACTTTTTTTTTCAACTTTTATTTATTTATTTCTACTTCACATTTTTATACTTGTAGTTTCTACTCCATGAGTTATAAGTGTGGTTTTTAATAATGTTCTTAGTCATAGGACATTTAAGGTTTAGGAACAGATTTTTTTAAAAAGAAGGAAATCTTATCTCTATGACCTCTGCTGTGTTGGGCAAATTTGAAAAACTTACAAGTGATTTATAGAGAGTAATAAAGGACGGTCACACCTCTTTCTTAGAGATTGAGACAATTTGTTAGCTGAAGCTTCTGGTTTTGTTTTTGGTTTTTGTTTTTTTTTGAGCCAGGGTTTCTCTGTGTAGCCATGGCTGTCCTGGAACTCACTCTGTAGACCAGGCTAGCCTCAAACTCAGAAATCTGCCTGCCTCTGCCTCCCAAGTACTGGGATTAAAGGCATGCGCCACCCCTGCCCAGCTAGGTGAAGCTTCTGTATAAGACAGGATTTATTTCTTCAGTAAACATTTCATGAGTGTGTCCTGCCTACTGACCGTGTCCAAGGTCCCAGTTACCTGGAAAACAGAACCCAGTGCTCACAATAATGGAATTTTCAGTGTAGAAGATGAGATGCTATGATTGTCATTTGACTGGACATTATGCAAGGTGCCCTGGTAACAGAAGAAGTCTAAGGTGTACCTGGCACTAGGAAAGGAGGAGAGAACAGAGGATGAGGACAGTTCACATAGCCTGGAAACAGAAGATGAGACTTGATGAGAACTGAGCATTTCAGGACTAGAAGAACCACTGTTACATAGAGCACAGTAAGAAGTATCATAATAATCATAAATTCCTAGGGAAAACAGGCAATGTTTTTCCATGTGAGGTTTCTGTATGTATTTTATTTTGTTCTCTCAGCAGATGGCCAAAGTGCAGGATACACTCATGAAGTTTATTTTGTTCTCCATGGCTTACAAATGAGAAAGCCAGTGCCCAAAGATATTACATCATTTGTCCAGGACCAGTTAGTAAATAATGTATCCATCATTAATGATAATAGAATGTATGTATATTATGTTTTACTCCTTTAAAATAACAAAAAAGCCAGGCCTAGTGGTACAAGCTTATAATCCCAACCAACTACTTGAGAGGTTGAGATAGGAGTAAGTTGAAAGCTTACCTTGGCTATAAAGCAAGTTCAAGGCCAACATGCACAACTTAGTGAGAACCTGTCCCAAAATAAAAACGTAAAAGAAGATATTGGGAGGCATTACTAAATGATAGAGTACTTGGCTAACATGCATTAGGCCCTAGGTTCAATTTGGGGGAGGATGGAAAGAGAGAAAAGGGGAAAGGAAGGAGGGAGGTGAGTAGAAGGTTCATTCAAGGAAGTATACATAATTTTGGCCTGCCCCTATGAGGAATATGGTGAAAGGTTAGAAGGTAGCTGTAGGGTTTTTGGGTCCCGTCCACTGTGCCACAGGGCTCTCTGCCTCTTGGCGAGGTGGGTAGAGGGAAGTTTGACTGTGCTTACCCCACACTGTCGTTGGGCAGGTGTTGGGCTATAGGGAAGCCCCTGGATACCGCTCCTGCTCCCCGGTGAGAAAGCACAGGCTGTGGCGCAGGACAGCTGGAGCTGGTTGGTTTGGGGGCCCCCTGGCCTATGAAGAGGCCAGGACCATGGGGTTCTCAGGCTCTCGGATACCCAGGTGTCACTGGAAGTTGAGGAGGAGCTAAGAAAGGAATTTGGGCCCCTGGGCTGGATCTGGCCTTTGGCAGGGTGGGGGTTGGGGGGAGCTCAGGCTAGGAGGTGGGGCTGGGACTGGGGCAGCTCAATACTTGAAGGCCTTCTCCATGGCCCCCCAAGGGCGGATCCCAATGAAAAGAGACAGTTCATGGTTTTAAGGCATTTATTGTCATGGTAGAAAGTGGATGTGTAAAACCGTACCCCATTTCTCTGGGGCCTGAGATTAAATACCTTTTGTAGGGAGGAATGTCTGGGAAAGAAAACTTATTGGCTAAGCCCTCCAGGCCTCTAGGTACCTCATTAGAATGTTGATCTTTGTTTTGAGCCTACGTGACTGCCGGTCTTTTCCTACCTGTGGGGGGCTTGGGGCGGTACCCTTACATGACTGATGGCCTGGTGGCTGGAAGCAGGCAAAGCTTCTACCATCCCTTCAGGATCTCCGTGGCTTCTAGCCTTAGCTCCACTGAGGACCAGGTCCACTCGCGGTCCACTGCCCCGCAGGTAGGCATATTATAAGAGAATAGTGTGACACATAAAGTTGGGAGATATTGGTAGTATCTAAGCCATGAAAGACCTTTCTGGGAAGTTTCTGTTTTACCTATGGATTAGAATTCTATGCAAAATGGGCCAAAGGTAGTTAGGTCAAAGATGGGGAGATCATTTAAGAGTACAGATGGAATGATTCATGTTAGAAGTGATAAGGTTCTAAACTAATTGTGGTAGACAATGGAGGCTCCTGAGATTGTCTACACCCATGTAAGAGGATTTGATGGGTTAACAAAAGAGCAGATGGGGTGGGGAGGGAAAGTGGTAGTGGGATAAGGGAGGTGCTGTAGGATTGAGAAGGAAGGGTAGATTTGATGAAAACACCAGGATCTGTATGAATGAAATTCTCAGTTTTCAAAATGGGGAAAAGAGAATGAGGCGGATGGTTTTCCATTATGATTTTCAGTGACTAATTTAATGTGAAGCTGCAGGGTGCAGCGAGAGTTGAAGGATCACTCTTGGTTCTACAAGTAGTTAGTTTTTAAGAAAGAAGATAAGAGGGAAGGAAGCCCATTTCAATAAAATCTGATCATTAGCCTGTCTGTCTGCTCAAGTTCTAACTGCAAATTATCACGTAGACAAATTATTCTTCTCTTTACTTCGCAGTTTATTCACTGTTCATAAAAATACTAGGTGCCCTGTGCCTTGGAACTGTTAAAAGGCCAGAAGCCCCATAGTCTACCATGAATATTTGAGTATAATTTTAAGAATGCTTTGGCTCTTGTCTTTGATATAAACGCGCAGAGCTTAAGAAACATGCTTCTGGTTTACTCTCTAATTTCCTACAGCCTTATTCCATATTAATTCTCACAACCCTGGCACTGTGTGTGGTTAAAAGAGTGTTCAGCATTCAGTGTTCTGGTACATCTAATACTTTGCAATCATGTCAGAGACAGATGGTCATCTTGTACTGTTGCCAGCCAATAAGACCTGCCATCTGTGGCTATAGTCAATCACAAACTCAGACTTTTACCTTTTTTTCTTCTTTATTGTGTATCCAGAAGACAATGTAGAGAAAGAGCAAAGACCTGGTTGCATAAAATTATATGAGTTATTTGAATAAAAGTGAACTGTGCTTTGGTGCAAGTTGTTTTGTGAACTAGATGGCATGTATGAGAGCTAGTCTTTTTAAATTCACTTTACATCCTGATCATTGTCCTTGCTCCTAGCCCTCCCCACCCCCTGCCAGTCCCTACTCCTCTCTTCCTTCCCCCTTTTCCTCTGAGAGAGTGGAGGCCCTCCTGGGTATCCCCCATCCCTGGCACATCAAGATGAGAGCTAATCTTAAGGGAATACATTTAAAGAGGCATCAGAAAAAGGAAAAACTAAATTGAACAGGTATTTTACCCAGCATGGGAAAGGAGAAATGGGACACCGATATTTGTGGAAGAAAACAAGTTGCTCAGTAAGATCTGAATAAAGAGAATTCAGATAACAAGATATCACACAGACATTTAAAATGTTGATTATGAAAATGAGTTTCATAATCAGAGAACGGACAGCTTGGAATCATTGGAATATAGAAAATAACTAAGCCACATTCTGTGAATTTCTCTTTGATTGCGGGGCTTAAAAAGTGAAACTTCATCTCCTGTGGAGTCGGA